ATGCGAAGTTTTACTTGTTTAGAAATTTTCAAAATTATTAAAATGTATAAATATTTGCGTTTGTCTTCTGTAAGAAAACTAAATTTTCACTTTTCTTTTTGAGAGTACGCTTGATTAACTTATTACTAATCATCCGAAGTGTTTACGCGTCCTTTGCAAGTTAGCCTTTTCTTCTGTTATAAAAGAAAACGATTCTCTCGTCGAAAAGGAAAAAAAACCAGTGGTGTCGATAATCTCGCTTTGCTGGACCAATTATCGCGCTTTATCTGTGAGAAACGAGAGCTCAACCGAGCTCAGATCAAGACACACGTACCCAGGTATATTCCTCATTAAGCCGTCAAAGTAGCGAGCGTAATTACGGGAGTAAATCCCAGCTGGTGGTTATCCCGCCCGTATGCACGCTCATTAATCGGAGGATAATTACGTGCGGACCTCATCAAAGTCATCTTGCGAGCGGGCGCGCGACGTCTCTCAACTTTCGTGTCGCCGGGATAAATCGATTTATGCCGTTTCGCCAGTCGGCGCTCGGTGCTCTCTGCACTTGACACATGTATATCGCCGATTAAGGGATCATCTCCGCCAACTCGAACACGGCGGAGTTTAATTGGATCGTCTTGTGCCTGCGCTTGAGCACTAAGGGAGACGCGCGTGCGATTTACGCGACGAGAACGAGCCTCGCCTCGCGTATTGCAAATTACATTGCGAGCTCCGAATCTTCGCTTCGGCTCGCCTTTAAGTGCCGACAAAGCCGAGGGGAGGGAAACATAGTCGGGAGAGAATTTCGACTCGATTGCGGGATGACAATAGCGACATTGAAATTCCTCGGAACTGCCTTTCTTAATTATGTCTTATCATTTTCATTATTTAGTACTGTAGTTAATTGCGTATGTAATAACGAATAGAAAATTACGATTAGAGAATTACGGTAAACGTTTTGCGACGTTTTAAGTGTCCTCCGTGATCTTCCTTGAGAAGAAATCAAGCTTCCAAGGTGTCGTATAACGATTTAATTACAAAATAACGTATGTATGTCGCATATTTAAATTGATTAAAAACTTTACCGCTACTCCCCATTTTTCTCCCCATTTTTCTCTTCTCTGCTATATAACCAAAGTGTCTGTGTAACAGGCATAAAGAGGAACTTTGAGAACATTTTATAGTTCGTCGCGGCGGCCGACCATGTTAATTACGCGTCGAAAAGCGCCGCTTGAAGACTGTCGCGTCGCGCAGCTTCCGCGGCAAAAAGTAAAAGCGTCTAAGTGAAAGAAGTTAACGGTCGGTATATCGAGGTGCGCGCACGAGACTCCATTGACTCTAATTGGATCGTTCCTCTTGCCCGGTTGCAGTACACGTGAAAATCTGGTAGCAACGCGCGCATGTTGATATACCCTCTACCCGATGCGCAAATATAGACGAGTCGGCTTCTCTTTGCGTTTATTCGCGAGACGCAAAGCTCCAGGATGACACACAGAGCGGGACGACTAATTAAGCAGAGCGGCTCAAAGAGTGGCGAGGCGGAAAGAGAATCTTTGTGCGAGGTATCTTGTCAAAAAGGAGTATCAGATATAACGCGCGCGCGCGTCAACCTACGAATTTCTTTACGCGTATCCATATTTCTTACACACCCGATAACGCGAGGCTAATTGAAATTTTATTAAAGTTGGAAATTCAGCTTCACATTTTCATGTCAAGTGAAAATGGCACGCCTCGCGAAGCAAGTTCGCTTCCTCCTTCCTTTGCCATCTTGTGCATATTATTCCCCAGGACACAGAACTTTCAATCTCCAAACAAAAAGTTGGCTGTAACAAATTCCGTTACCCGAATCAATTACGTGCCCCAACTTAGCGGCGGTACTTTCTGGAGCGAGGAAATTAATGATGCATCCCGACGGTCGGAATTATCTGGCGTGGGGAAACGACCGCGAATCGCGTGACCCACGGGTGATAAAACTCTTTCATTTTGGGGGAGAATCGTGGACGACGATGAAAAAGAGATGAACCGCGATATCCGGCTCTAATATCCCGAAGTAGAATGGCGCTTTTATGTCCCGCATCATCGTACATCGTTTGCCGGACAGATTTCAGGCCTGGTTTCGTTGCCTGCAAGCGATGTTGCATACGAGGACGTACACGGGGGACAACAGACATCCAGCCAGCTTGACGAGAGTCATTCTTTCGTTCATCACACTCCGAAATGAACATCCGCCCCGTCACTTTGTCCCACGTGACGCACCGCGTGAAACAATGGTTATTTCCGCACACACCGAAAGGAGCGACATAAATGTCATCGTGTCATTTTATCGAGGCAACCATTACCTTTGATAAACTCACCGATATTATTTACAATGTATTTCTACGATGTATCTCGCGATGTTACACTATTAATTTTATTGCACAAGAATATTGTACTGATATTATTTTCCTTATTATTTACTAATTATACTATTATTATCCTGCAATTGTATTGCAGGATTTAACTATATCATAATCATGACGAATATTCTTACTCGCACGCCCCCTTTTTCTTGAAGCTGTTAAACAAAAACTTTACACCGTTTGTTCGCGTAATAAAAATATTAAAATAAATGGAGATGACTCATTAAGTCAAATTTTTTAATTAAAGTCCAATTTATATTCCATCTTCTTTTTATCCTACAAGCTTAATTCATGCACGTTGCAACCCGGGATAATATCGATGCAATTATGCGAGTCGACTCTCATTATTGAAAGAAGGTAAATGCATATTAGGAAACGTGTTGCATCGGACAGACGCGCGATGGGGATATTGTGCGTGATACATAGTGAGATATGAATGGTAATGCGTACACGCGTGGTAAACTAGGCACGGGCGTTTAGACTAGCAAGAATTTAGCTTTCGACGATTTATACGTATGTATATGTACGTATAATAAATTCATATTTATCCAGCCCCCCTACCGATCATGCAAAATGCATGCTTGCAAAGCCGGTATCGTACATATTACAACGAAATATTTATTAATACAAGTCGCTATAATATGTGGAGGTTAAAAGCGGTTAAAACTTTATGATCCGCCCGAAAAACGATCGATTATATTTTACATATTTTCTGACAAACAAAAAATATGAACTCTCTATTTGGATGATATCGTTTCACGATGTGAGATCTCGAAATTCGCTCGTTTAATTAATTTAATCGATTATGTATAATTGATTCATGTAATTGAGATTAAATGGAAAGCATAGGCCCCGCGAAAGAGAGCATTCGTGGATAATAGCACTAATAGACTATTCTTCGTAAAGTCGACTGCGCGAATTATAAACCAGTGACCAAGTGAATTATAAGCCCCGTATTAAAACGTCAAAGATTTATGCTCGGTGATATAACCGCGTCTTTCGCGCGTTAGCGCGTACACAAAAGATGTCGTCCGTAAAACTTTCGCCGTATTGTATGCGTGTGCTCGCGAAAAGAGCCAGACTTAAAATTTTTACCGTCCAGCTCTCGACAATTTCTCGAGATTCAGCAAGCGCACTCGAGTTTCTGCAGGCAACGCGCGCTATTTTAATAGTTTCTGTCAACTTATTGTTAGTTACACGCCGCGCGGACGGACATGCCGCTTTCGTGTTTCGTTTATGTTTTATTTGCAGAATTTTATTTATCCAATCTCAGGAAAGAGACGTCAACAACGTACCGACCGTCGTTCTCCAGCAAACAACGAAATCAACGAATCTATGTAACGTTACATACGATAAAGTATAACTGTATGTGCCAAATTAATTGAACTATATGAAAATCGGAAGATTTTATATTAAACTTTGAACAAACGCTTGGTATTATCAAAGAAAGGGAATATGAATTCGAAAACTAATAGTTTTTTAATAGTCAAATACTTTCTGGATATAAATTCAGCAATTTCTTGTAATTCGATAATAAATATGTGAAAGATACCATTTTCTAGAAATTTTCTTTAACTAGGTAACTCTTATCTTTGTAGAAACATACCATTATCTTTGTAGAGATATACAACGTTTGAAATAGAGAATATATTATGACTTCGCTGATTTTATTTAGGAGATGCGATATGTCATTGTCGAATCCGCTTTTGCTCTAGTTTCGAGCGTGGGTCTCGCGTGACTCATTCCAAGATATATATTCAATTGTCGCGAAAAATTGCCGGAGGAAGAGGTCGGGTGAGGAAAGTCGGTAATCCGTCTTAAAGGGTACACAAACCCGCGAGTTATTGCGACACCGCGATAAATTCAGTTTACAGATCCGGGGGTCGCGTCAAAGTCTTCGTCGCGGCGGAAAGAAAACTACGAGCGGGTTTTCGCGGTCAGGCTGCGCGAGGTAATCCAAATTCAGGCGCGATAAGTCAATCCCTGCCCGCGATGTGGAAGCGAAGGAGAAAGGGTTGAGAGCTCGGCCGCCCACTTTGGTCGAGGACGTTTCCTCGGGTGCCCGGGGCCATTACGATAATCAACGGTTAGGGACTGCGTGCCGAGTACAGTGGGTCGTAATTTTGTACTCTTTCCTACCGATGGTGCATTTTTAGGAACCGCCTGGGAACATTATCCGTACAACAGGGCGAAAGGTAGCAGAGCTACCTTGGTGAAAAAACGTTGGATACGTAAACGCCGAACGTTATTAAATGCAGGCTTTTGGCAAGCACTTGGTGACGCAATTGCAGCAATAATAACTGTAATAAGTGACTTTAACGTGCGAGTATAATGGTTCTAAGAATATTTCAGAGTCGTAATTTTTGTTTGAAAAGAAAAGACGCTCTGCCTGATATATTTGCAGCCCTGTATGAGAAGCTATCTCAATTAATTTAACCTCAATGTAGAGATGATATTTAAGAGATTGTTCGCATAAGTTATTATAGAAATTTGATGTACGTAATTTTAGCGTGTGCACACAGTGTTTCGAAGACACTGGCCGTTCTTAAAAATATTTAGCTCAACGTTGAAGGTGCATTAAATGATTAGCGCGAGACACGACAACGACACGACACCAAGACTCACCAAGAACTCGCCACTGCCGAGGCTCTGCTGAGATCCATCCGGTGTAACGGCGAGATCCGCGACGATCGACGTGGAGAAGCTTCTGCGTGCTTGATGGTGGCACTTGTGCGGGCCGAGATTCCTCTGCGTAGCGTAGCCGGAAACTACAGCGCTCTCGTTTAGCTTGGACGTCCAGATCTCCTGCTCGCGTTGCGGCGACTGACTGATCGTGCGGTGCTTGGTGAACCTGGAGATACGCTCGGTCTTCACCCAGTCGTGGTTCGGACGAGGCTGCCGCGTGATCGTCTGCAGCGACTTCATGGCGTTGAAGCGCGAGAAACCGTCTTCCATCGCGGCCGCCCAGAGGTGATCCGGTAGATCCCTGGAGCCACAATGCGTCTCCACGGATTGCCGGTCCGAAGATGAGCCCAGGCCGGAAGTGGTCGGCGTGGTTGGGTAGAATCTTCGATAGGTGTCCTTGGAATCCTCGATATCCGTGGAGTAGAAATCGCCGTCGCGCGACTCCAATGAGCGATTGTTCTCGTGTAGGTTCAGGGACGAGCCGATGCCAGTCGAGGTGGTCGAGGTGCGGCAGAATCGCCGCTCGTTCGCCGACGTCCATATCTCATCCGTGATCGAGGAACCGATCCCCGTGGAGGTCGTAGGCGTTCTGCGCGAACGAGCCTTTCTATAGTCGCTATCGTTCGAATGTAGCAAAATATTCGGGGGACTTTGTATCCTCAACAACGGTAAACATGCTCGAAACGAAAAGAAATGTATCGATAACGAAATAGTCTTCTCTTGAAGAGAGTTTAATTCGAGTTTGAAATTATAATAAATTGTGCTTTTCTGTCCGAGAAAAAAACGCAAAGCAAATTGATTGCAATTAGTACGAAGCTGTATAGTAAGCGCATGATATTTCGCGGCATTCGCTAACCTACAAAATTAATCAAGCTCCCTTGCTGCGATTATGTTAAAAAGAACAACGGACAATTTAAAACTTGATTAATTCACTTCATAAATAACTGTATATACCTATGAGGGAAATTTCTCTCTCTCCAGAGCTCGTCGGGGTTCGCGGGGGATGTGTGGCTCGTAGAAGAGGACGCGGCGAGAGTGGTATGTTGATTCGCGTAGGAGCATCTCTGCGGAAACCCCATCCCCTCGTCCAGGCCGGCCGCCCAGAGCGATTCGAGGGGTAGGTCGTGGGCACCCACGGGGGTGTCGTCGGCGCCCTTGCCGCTTCCCGTTCCCGTTCCGTGTTTCCCCCCGCTCCCGACGGAGGGGAACACTCTCTCGGCACCCTGAAGGACGCAGCACATAATCGTGCCGCCTCCCTCGCTGCCCTCGACGCCACCACCCTCCTCCTCCGCCTCCGACCCCCTGGAACCGACGCTTTGCAGGCAACCTATTGTGACCGAGCTTTTGACCTGGTGCCAGGCCTCGACCCCTTTTTTTAGGAGGGGGTGACGACCCTCCCGGTGGTCGGTTCCTCTCCGGCTCCTTCTCCTCCGCTAGGCCCTCCAGGCCCGACCAGTTCTTCAAGGCCGGCCCTTCATCCCCCTCGCCTTTCTGTGCGTTTGCAAACGCTTCTTCGGTTGCTGGGTCTAATAGTCAACGAACCGCTGACGGTCGACGTAATGCACCAGCGTACGTCTTCCTTAGGTAGAAATTTGTTGAGAGGACTTGAGTACACTGAAAGTTGATTCCGCTGTTGTAGTTCGCAAACAGAGTAACGTAATGTCATCATTGCGGACTTCTCGTGAGGTTTGCGAAGGGATATGGAAAGATTGTGGAAAAGATTTACTGGAAATTGCGTAATATTCTGTAATAGATATTACGTGACTCCGAATCTCTCGGTAGCGTAGAATTTCGTATAAACACGTGACACGTCGTCGATACTTTCCCTCTAATTTTCCCTCGCCGGGCTTAGAGTTTCCGAAACATGGAAACTCACCAATTTCTCGTAACTGCATTTGGCATACCAATTATAGATATACTTCATTCGATTTTCTACGTGCCGTGTGTAAATGTAACTGTGTGCTCTAACACTGGCAATGTAATGGCACACATAAAGAAGTTTTTAAAAATTTAATTTAAAATTTACTTGAAATATTATTAAACTTTAAATACAAACTTTTTAGACTGTAAAAATTACAATTGTATTCATTCACTTTTTGGACTTTTATTGCAGCCATATGACGTCAATAAAATATACAATATATCTATAAAAATTTTTATATCTATGAAAATTCAATAAAATTCAAGAAAATTCAATAAAAAGTTTAAATAACAATTTTTGTTTCAAATTCAAGTTACTAAACTGCTCTGCACCGATGGTATAATACAATATTTCTTTCATTAAATTCGTTGCTAATTAATTACTTAAACGTTACAAAAGCTTACCGAAATATGTTATTAATAATATCAATTATTTAAGGTGGCATTAACCGACCAAAAATGGAAAAAATGGAAATTTATGTATATTATAGTCGTAAATATTATCTAGCGGTACGCGAAATTTCAGACCCGGTCGCCGATGAAATAAAATAAACAAAAAATATTAAACTTGTATTTTTAATATTCCAGTAAACACCAAGTAACAGTTACATAACATCAATGTTATAATTTCCTACTCAGCCGAATAAATGTATTATAACACCCGTGTTATAATTACATTTTCATTGTTAAGTAGGAAATTATAATAGTGATATTATGTAACTATTACTTGGTGTTCACTGGGATAGGAATTATGGGCCGATCGCTCGCGGAAGCACTTTGAGGGTTAATATTATTTTATAGAAAAAGTAGATCTTAACAAAAAACGAGATAAACGTAATAAATGTCACACGGATTCAAGTGTGCTATTAAGTATACGAGGTCACCGACCTCTGCAGGCAAATACTTATTAGTCGAGTCAAAAGAAACAATGTTTTGAGAAAATTCGACAGCTCTTCGAGACTTGACAATATCACATACTTTTAAATATGTTTTTAAATGTGCATATATAACCTAGCATTTCAATGCATTTGGTCAATAATGCATCAAGTGATATTTTTTATGAAAAAAGCCATATGAATTTATAAAAATTAAATGTGGCCCCACCAAACGAAGGCACGGAGATAGTCAACGATATTTATATCTCTGATCGAACAATCTATCATAACTTTATAAATTGCAGTAGCAAACTTTATGCAGCGTGGCAGATTATCGGGAACGTAGACGATGCGAAGTCAAAATTTAGTCTATTCCGCCTGTCATAGCTTCCGTGCAATTTTTTTTTTTTCATTCATTCGCGTCCTACGCGGCGCGACGTTAATTAGCTAATGAAGACTAACGAGAACGAGAAAGCTGCGGTGTGAAGTCTGGTCGAACCGCGTGCGAATACACACGCAGATCGATCCCGGGGGGAATCCATAAAGCTTTCGATGCCGAGGAAATTCGATGGAATGGCCATTATACTGCACGGGTAAATTGAAAGCCGCGTAATTCGTTATTTACCGACGCAGCTTTGTAATTGACCGGGGCACGGCGGACCCGATGATTTATCGCGATCGTCGGGACCCTTTTCGCCGGGACCGATCTGTCCCGCTCGTGTCGACTGTCCCCGACAGAGATTTACGAGCCATACGGCCGCTGAAACATATGGCGGTGACGATTCCGGATGATGTAGCCTCGCGTCTGAGAAAAAAAAACCCTGGCTTTTAAGAGTTCATTGAATTATCAAGATAATACGTCTCGTTGGGCAATTTGACTAAAAGAATTCGTCTGGGGTTTAATTTCACAAATCTTATTAAGATAAACTGCGGCAAACGTTGCGACGTTTCGCAGTAACGTAATTTCGTGCGTCAAATTCAGTCAATAGATCTCTCCCCTTTAATGTGATATTGCTAGTTAATGATAAATGAACCAATCACATTCTGATTTTACTTCAGGAATATTGCAACGGTAGCGTAATATTTGCGCAATCAAATTAGTATCTTGTTTACCCTTTAAACGTGCTAGTCTAACTCGCCAAATTAAACTCGACACGTTTTCCCAAAATTCCCGGCGCACCAGACGGAAATAGATTGGCGAATTACGGAGTTGCATATCATGCACGTTGATTGCATGAAGTTCGCATTAATTCGCGGCTGAACGCGTAGATACAACGAAAAGATATTAAATCTTAACCGCGAGCGAAAGATGACGTTTTTGCCATTTAAGAACTCCTTATCGAAAGGAGTCACAATTTCAGCTCAGCGCGGCGATGATAAGATTTGCGATAAAAATGTAATAAAATGCACGAGGAAATTTGTGATGCACGATGAAATCTCTGATATGAATCAATGATAAAATTTTTCGCAGCTCCGATACGACGCGACGCGACCTATTTTATTTAATCCTTCCATTCACGTACGTGTCGAATATGCGCGAGAGTCGCTCGCGATATAACTCTTTGCAAAAGAAGCTCTTCTTTAACGGATTTACTGACGGAAACCCGCGATGGATGCGAAACTTCGTCTGGACGAAAACGTGGCTGCCGCAGCAGCTTCGATGGAAATCTCTCAACGAATTTTCTTTCGCGTCTCTCTCTCTCAAGACCGGGTTCCTCGCTTCGCAATTTTCATATTTGAAAATGTAACAAAAGAAAATCCCCACCACTCCCTGTATCTCGAAAAAACCGACACACTTTTCAACGTATCCCTTCATTCGGAATATATTGTAAAATTCATCAGGTTGTGACCGTAGAATGTTCGATGTTAAAAGTATTCACACATGTTTCTGAATGAAATTTCTAAACTAAATTTTTTGTTCTCACACAAAAACTTCCTGAATATTAGCCAATACATGTAAACCTCTTTTGTTAAGATTTTGTCGTCGGTAAGTAATTACTTTAATTAAGAAATAATTTTAATAAATATGTTTCGAAAAAATGTAGTATCTACATATAACGGGCAAATTTTTATAAAAGTGTACAAATATTAATATTAAAACGTTATTTCAAGCCAATAAAAAATTGTTTTCTCAGAAAAGTAACAGAAATTAGTTTCCTGAATACATCGCTATTTACGTATTAAAAAGCACTTATGAGCAAGTACTGTAAATCACATACAAATATATTTTATTATTGAAAGAATTTGGAATGAGACGAGTCAAGGAAAGAATCTCTCTAATTTTTGCGGAAATGCTTTTAAATTCCGTTTGCGCGTGAACGAGCGCGACCGCGGCTTTCAGAATTAATAAGAAAAGTAATAATGAAAAAGATTCGAGTATCGCGCCAGCGAGAGGAACAAGAAAATAAGAGCCACTAAATATTTATAGAATACTTTACCGGCGCAAGACGATTCAACGCGATACGCGATGTGCTTGCAAAAAGGTGGATGCATAAATAAGCGGGCGTCTAAGAAGCCGATGTAACGTCCGACGAGGTGCGAACGAATATGCGGGCGGGTCGAGAGGATAAGAAAGAACACGTATTCCCTTCGAGTGGTTACGAAATGAGCATGATCCATCATTACGATGCATAATAACGCGGACAGCGGGCGCGCCACTAGAATAAACACGGAATTTAATATCGCCATGCTACTGCGATGCGCGCATGCAACATTACCGATATGAAATTTCCGCGCAGCACTGCGGAATTTCCGCGCACACGTAACCGTATGCAAATTACCACGTACGTGGAAAATGCTGTTACGCTCGCGATCGGCGTATCTCGATCTCGTTCGATTGGGTTAAAAAAAAAATTACGCGCAAAAAGACATCAAAGCGCCGAGCAGTACCCTCGTTAACCCACACGAACTGAATTACACATTAACAGTATCGCGAGAAGTACGTTATCGCGTCATTAACATCGATCGATATTTAAATAGAGTCATTTTTGCTGTAATAAAAGTGATATATGCATAAGTAAGTATGGATATTATCGAATGATACGTGCCTCGGAACGTATCATTGATAATGGGCGTTTTTTAATTTGAATGTAAGAAAAAAGGAATTTTAATGATCTACTTTCTTTGCAAATTAAACAGCGTCGTTTTCCTCACGTCACATTATCGTGCGAAACATAAATAATTTATAGCGGGACATACATTGTGCTTTAAAGGTAGTTCTCCAATACGGAATATCCTAGATGCGACTAGTATCCATAAAATATATTATGATTAAGTATGACAGTGCCGGTAAAAAGGAAAAATTATCTCCGGCCAATGCAGTATGCGAGAGTGAGAGAGAGAACACGAGGGGAAAAAAAACTTAAATTTACAAAGACGGTCGAAGGGAGACAGAGTGCACACCACGGTGAAGAATACGTTGAAGTATGGTCGCCATTAAATATTTA